ACGCACAGCATCCTCTTGGATAGCTCCCTGCTGATCCGAGAGAGCGTGGCATCAGCTGGATGGATTTCTGGTGGGAACCTCATCCGGTACCGAACCCAGAAGTTGGATTTGACATCACGCAACTCTGTGTCAGCCAACATAGTATCAAGATCACTGGCACTGATCTTGGACCTATCCTGGTCCTGGTTCTTGTAGTACAGGGTCACGGCAGTCCAAGCTCTGTGCAACCTAGAGCCCTGAATCAACCGATCATCACCGAGTTGCAACTTGGCCAAGAACGTGTCAACTTTCGACTCATCCTCAAAGAGGAACCGAAACTCCTCCAGGTTCTGAATCTTGGTAGCCAACAACGCCTTGGTCACAACGGGGTCCAACGAAAAATTTAGCCCTAAAGACTCCATGGTTTCCTGAATGGTGGTACTCTCCACCGGAACCAATCGAACACTAGTCATTTTCTCAAGGTAACTCCTTGTATGACTTGAACATTCAAAGCTGCTCACCCCCAAACATGCCTCCCGCATGCTGCACATCACCTGCCATCCAGGGACAGAAGGAGGTGACGGGGGGGGTAAGACAAGAACTCCCCTGTTCCTCAGGGGTACGACAGACTGTATCCTAGTCTCTATCCCCGGCACACATCATGTAGCTTGTCCTCACAGATACCTGTGTAAGCTACCTCATGACCTACCGGTAAGACTAGTTATCACAGCCTATCATGATTCCATCCTCCCGGATGTTGATAGGGCCCTTTTCCACGCAGAAGTCAAGCTCTCAAATGGTTCAAATGCATGTTAGCCTACGGGCAAGCTATGGACCACATTGATCAGCTTACCAAAATCGGCCCTGTGCGTCTCTTATTCAAATGAATTCTGGTGCGCCACTCCTGACAAGGTCAGCGTGGATGCCAGCTCGCTGCTGCTCGCACCAAACAACCATCACAAAAAGCGCGGCCCCAAGCCATAGCCTCCCTCATGTCCTGCGTCGTCATTGGCTTCACCAAGCGGATTGCACGCTCGGCAGATTGCTTGTGGGAGCAGAGGGTCTGGCCGTTGTTGAGCTCCAGATGAACCTTTGAACGAAGTGTCGCAATGTAGCCACAGGGCTCTGGGAACGGGTTCCTGAGGGAGCTGGTCCTGAGAGTCGTGTCCACCCACGACCTCATACCCGCCTCATGGATGATCCCCGGGATGTCCAACGAGCGCCTGCAGCTCTTCACGTAGGCCACTGCAACATCCCAGCTCTCCTGGGCTAGCAGCGCACGGAACACACAGCCCCCAATACCTGCTCGATGGCGCCCTGATAGGCAATGGATCAGGGCCGATTCGCCTGCATACATCGTATTGCGCAGCAAAGGCCAGACTTCTTCGAAGTCCCTGTTCCTGGAACCACCATGGGCCACACACAGGTGTTTCAAGAGGGCATCTGTGAGCACCACTCCTCCTCTGGATGATGGGGCTTCGGCCATGCACGCAATCTGAAGGGTAACTCCCTTTGGAAAGCGGTTTGCCGTGTTCTTGGTTGGAATTACACTCAGCCACAGCTTGCCCCCTGCCCTATTCTGATAAATAAGGCTCGGGCTCTCCGCCGTCTTGCCATGGACTGTCGCCAACCTGTCGAACTTCTGGTCGGGCCCTCGAGTATCCAGTGCCTCTGGGATCGGAAGGTCCTCCTCCTCGACTTCGACTTCTTCCTCTTCCGAACTGGTCTCCAGGGCTGGCAATGGCGCTGGAGGTGGAGCTGGGGCTGCTTTGGCCTTCTTCGCTGGCGGTGCCTTAGACGGCGGCCCTTGTGGGGACCGTGGGCGCCTCACTGACGCCTTAGGAGGGGCAGCTGGCTCCGGAGGTCGCTCCTCCGTGGATTTGCTAGTAGGCTTGGCCTTAGCAGATCCCGAACCAGGCCCTTCGCCAGCCATCTCCTCCACCTTGATGAACTTCTTGTCGTGGCATTCACATGCCGGATGGCCTCCACCGCAAACTCGTCCAGCTTTGCGCAGAATGGCGCATGCATGGCGACCAGGGCACGCCTCCTTCTCCAAGGGGCAAGACCTTGTCTGAAAAGCTCCACAAATGGGTGCTCCATTCTTCATGAATGCGCTCAGCACCTTCCCATTGAGAGATGCCGGCATCGCAGACAGGCCACCCTTGGCTTGTGATGGCTTGTGCCTCTTCTCGTTTGGCCGCAGCCTTGAGCTTGAGAGCCTCCGACAGCTGAAAACGCGCCTGCATCTCAGCCTTTGTCAAAGGAGCTGCCCAAATGACCTTGGATTCCTGCTTCAGCACCTTGTCCACGTTCTGGCGTGCATACTCCAGGGCCTCAGCGTAGGTCTCCGTAGGGATGGTCTCCCATGACTCATGGGCAAGCAGCTTTTCCATAGCCAGCCTCACAATGTGCTTGGTCCTCAGCGAAGACTCATACCTGGCTGCACTGTAGTGCATAGGCATTGTCGCCTCCTTCGGGATCTGGGAACGATCTGCCCAGTCCCCCAGTGAGCATAGCTCGAGAGGCGTCAGCTTCATCAAAGTGCCCACTGTAGGTGCTGCTCGTCGCCAGGAGTAGGAAGACAAATCCTCTGTATTCTGGACCAAGTGCTCAAAGACCTCACGATTGAGCTCGTTGACGAACTTCAATGTGTATGCGGTGCCCTCCGCATCAAAGCATAACCCTGAAGCGGCTTGCTTAGTCTTATCCAGACTGCTGTAGTCCCTGAACAAGGCCGAGCCCCAAGCCCATCCATTAACGAATGTAGCCGGAATGCTGAAGGAGAACCCGCCCCTGTTGGCCTTCTGCTTCCCCTTCGTGCAGTAGCCATGAAAGGAGCTGGGGGTCACTTTGACTGGCCTGGCACGCATGATGTGCTGGTATCTCAGGACACCAAAGGTAACCAGCCAGCTGGACAGCAAGCCCCTCCAACGCGGGTCCCCGGCTTCGTACAACGATTGAATCTTCTCTTCAAGCGCTGCAATCATTGGGGGCTCAACTGCAACAGCCTGTTCTGGGTTTGCCTGTTTGGGTGGATTCTTACGAGCTGGGACTGGTACATCACTGAAGTCCCATTGCAACCGGCCATGTTTGGAGAACCACTTCAAGGAGTGAAAGGCTCGGTAAGGCCCCGACGTGCCGTTCTGCAAGAAGCCATAGAGGTCCAATGCGTCCGGCGGGAACAAGCGGTCCTTCTGCTCCATGTAGGCCCGCAACTCAGCCCAGGACTTCAGGGCATTCACCACCGTCGCTCCTTCGGCCTCTGTGACCTTCCGCTTAGACAAAGTATCCAGAGCGTCTTGCCACTGAGCGTACCTCTCCGGGGTCAACTCCCCTTGAGGACGCATGACCTTGGCTTGAGAGAAGGCCTTCCTCAATGCCGCAGCTCGCAGCAGCACCGTCTCTGGTTGGTCTGGGCCTGGCCGGACTCGAAGAGCTTGGACCATCTTGCTCTTCTTCATCATGGACGCCTTGGGCGCAGGCCATGTCGTTGGCCGATCTCTGGAGCCCGAGCTCTCAGCCACGGCAGCCGCTTGAGGGATGAGGCGGCAGTTTTGGAGCGCGCTTGCAACCACGCATCTGCCACATGGTGTCCTCCATGTGCCACTGCGCTGTCATAGGATGCAAACGCATAGGCGAAGTCAGTCTCATCATGTAGTCCCCATTGAGCTCGCCACTGTTCAACACGGGTGGATGCCACCCTCTCCATCGCCGTCTCTGCACAAGGTGGAGCCTCACCAGCAGCCTGCACCGCATAGGCTCCTGGGTGGTATGCCATGGCGACGCCTGACACCACCGCCGCCAAGGTTCGGAGCGTACGGGCTGGGCCTGAAACTGCAGACCACACCTCAGTATCATCAGGTAACAAACAAACATCACTAGGCCGCAGCTGCTGCAGATGGGTCTCGACGCAAGACGGGGTGACATCCTGGACACTGGGAGGGTGGACAGGTACTGCACACAGAGGAGAAGCATCGCTCACAGAGCTCAGGTGTCGGCAGTCCACAAGCCCTGCAAGGTGGCAAGGGTTCCTCCCCAGCCTCCATGGCACCAAGCCAACCCCATAACGACCGAACTGCTCTGGCCCGTGGTGCTCTCCACGCAACCAGGTCAGCCGGGATGGGCACCAGGGATGGGTCCCTCCATCCACGCTGCGGGGATTGCCAGGTCCTCCACACATCCCAAAGTTCGGTGAGGTCGACCATGCTATCGGCATTGTGCTCGATGAAGGCGACCAAACCAAAGATGTTGTCCGGCGCAAAGTCCCGAGCCGTCCAATGAGTCCGCAGCGGCTCGATGAGTAGCAAATCCAGCTTCGCCTCGCCCAGGCGATCATAGTAGGATTGCCACGCACGCCGGTCACTCCCGGGCAGAGCCAAGACAGCTGAGCTGTTCCATGTGCCGATCCAAGGGAACTTGAATCCTCCCTGATACTCAGTACACCTCCTACAGTTTTCTTCCATACAAGGTGACCGTCTGAAAGGGGGAAGTCCCTGCACCCCCAACCCAATTGGATGTGGGGGGAAATGGTCAATTTGGCACACAGAAGCCCACAACCGGGTGGCCTCTGCCACCAAGCCCTGCTGGAGTAGGCCCTCCACGTGCGTCTTGAACTCGTAGTAGGCCGCCGCATGAAGCAGCTCCACATCCGTGTGGGCAGCCTCATTCCAACCGGGCCGAACGACGATGGAGGCCCTTGGCATCGGGGGGGTGACCTCCCACCTTCGAACCTCTGTACTCTAGGGTAACGCCCTAGTAGAGGAACGAGAAACCACTGAACCTAGGGTAACTCCCTAGAAGTGGCGTGGGTACCCCAGCAAAAAGAAAGAGCGATGAAGCCAGTTTGGCTCAGACTTGAGCCAAAATGGATTCATCAGCTTACATACTCACCCTAATGATAATGCACACCCAGTGCCTGCCAAACACGATGCATACATATATATATTTCCCCCAGTTTCCCATGACCATAGATGATCAGATTGGCTCAAAAAGTCAGCCTCTTCCACAGATTTTTCCCCCGCCTCCAGTTGCCGGATGATCTCAGCTGGAAGTTCCGCCACCGGCAAACCCGGTCGGGTGGCATCAGCTTTCAACAGCACCTGGCGCTGGCACCGAGCGGCACAGGTTGCAAGGCGGTTTCTGGCCCCATTTTTTTTGGATATAACATGCTATGGGATATTATTTTGTGGATTATTATATAGATGAAATCTTTGGAATATGAGATGACCGTTTTGGGGATATTATATGATATGATGATGTATGATATACCCCTCAAATATGATTTGAAAATTCAGGTGGTTTATTCTTGGGCCTATGACACTCTAGCTGCCTAGCTCGTTCAGACTCTCTCAGGAACCCACGGGATTCGAACGTTGTGCATAAACCGTCCAAACTTTCGGGTGTTTTCTGATATCCGTTTCACGGTCAGCGCATCATATCGTTCTGAAGCAGGGATGTTTCAAATTAAGTCTTGAACGAACCAGATCTTGCACAATGTTGCATTCGGGTGTTTTGACATCTATTCCACCACATTTCATCATAGTTCACGTCGGCTCCAACCTTATCATCTTTCGGTGGATCGATTATGATTTATTATTTATTATGCTAAAATATGCTGTATTGCATTATGTTATTATATTGCAATAATCCACATACTATATTCTATACCAATGATACAACCATTTTGGTTGGTTCATGTTGGTTCCATCATGCATGGCGCCTCGCAGGGCTTGAACCAGCCGCGCTTCGCTGCACCAGCCACCTCTTTGGCCGGCCTGCGGGCTCCGACGTACGAAGGCAGGAGTTCCAGATGGTTCCCATCCATTTTTGCAAGTTTTCATGCATCTAAGATATTCTAAGATCATTCCACCTTTCTGGAATCCAACTCCCATATGATAAGCAAACCTGCTCATTTTTGGAATGGAGGACAGCATCAAAGAGGCTCAAAGGAGGTAAGTTGCGAGCCCTTAAGCCTGCACGTGGGGTGTGTGAAGGGCAAGTATGGCTAAGATTTGCATGACCTGCCTTGGAGACTGAACTTGATTTTTTACACCCATACTATGTCCCAACACTTCCTGGGCTCAGCCATGAAGTCCCTCAGCCATATCGGATGGTGAAGTTCCCCATTTTGAAGCCTTGACCGACTGAACCAACATCTCCATTGAAACCATTTTGGGCGACCCCACACCCATCGGCTGGTCGTGAGCTGACGCAGCCACTGCGCCGGGTACAAAGCAAGCCGCTTTTCGCCTGAGAGGTGGCAAGTGTTCCCAAAAATCATCCAACATCCAGCACCAAAATTCACCAGATTCCACCAGGCCTGGTTGCCCCGGTGGCATGAAATACAAGGACCGATGGCTCGGTGGCGACTTGCCGGACGGCAGGGTCTTGGAGCCTGCGGCATCTCTGCGTTGAAAAAACGTGGGGGCGGAGGATGGTCCTCTTTTCTTCGAAGTAAAGGGAAGCCAGCCATCCAAAAAAATAAATGGAGAAAAGACAAGACCATCCAATTCTAAAGTAGTGGTGCATTCTGATTATTCTATCAGTCTATGCTTTTACATCTTCTTTTTTGGTAGTGCCATAGACGGCCGTGCCTTGAAAGTTTTCAGGGTCAAAAGTCAATGGTGAGACACTGACCTCAAATAAGAAATACACAGAGCTAGGAGCAGAAAGTATATCATCATTATTCATCATCATCAACCATTGGATTCCAGTATATCAGAAAGTATATCATCAACCATTGGATTTCCTATCCTTTCCTATCATTTCCTATCCAAACATAGTAGACCATTTCTCTGCAAGATCTGAGAATCTCAAATCTCAAGTTTCTTGCCGTTGATATCCCCCGTGTCGGTGGCCTCCTCCAGCTTTTGGCGCGGGCAAATCTGCCGCTGGCCTCAAGTTGGTTGAGCCCCGGCCTGAGCCCCACTCGCTGGCCCTGAGTGCCCGACACATCTGCGGGAGCCACTGCGGAATCTGGCAAGGCTTCAGAGCGCAAGATGACACGAGTGGAACCCACCCAAAAAAGGGGAGGATTTCCTGTTGGAAATTTACATTTGTTATTTTTCATGGGAGTTTTCAGGATTGCACCTGGTCCTGATCTATGTCAATCATGGATATGTGACTAATATGTATCATTGTGTGTGTCTATGTTCCTAGGTCTAATCACTATTGTTACTCACCAAACCAAACTTCTCCAAGAACTGCCCCATCAGATGATCGTTGGCCCAAAACCAACCCCTTTCCGTGGTGCGACGTGTGGAAACCAAACGTGCCAGGCGTACTATCCATCTCTACGTGGAGACGTGAGACCAGGCGCGCCAAGGACATTGCATCTTGGCGCCACTGTTCCTGGCACCGGTCTGCCATACCATTTTTCAGGGTTCCTCCCAGCACCAGATCCAAGGGGGGGAAATGGCTAGATTTGGCTAGGCCAAGGAAATTGTGAAGACATTGGCAATGTGCCTTATTTAGCCTCAGTGGATGTACTTGAATGGATTGAAGCAAGCCTGTCTCCTGTCATTGGTTCCCCATCCGCCTCCTCTGCTGGATCTGCTGGTGGCTGAGCCTTCGGGCTCTGAGAGGCCGCCCTGTTGGGTTTCCAAACAGTTTCTGTGGCCCTTTGGTTTCCAATATGATCAATATGTAATATGTAATATAAATAAATATATTTATGTATATATACACGTATACATAAACCATGACACATGATAGATGTTATCTTGGATTTGCCACACGGGCCTCCCAAAAACTAACAAATACTGCAGTCCGCTGCCCCCAAATGGTGGATTTTTCCTTCGGAAAATAGTTAATCACCTTAAGACTAAGACAAACCAAGCGGCCAAATCTCAACATAGTCAACTGGGGACCTGCTGTCACTCCCCAATTAAGCGCCCTGACGCCAACATGTCTCCACTAGTACCAGCACAGTATAATGTATCTATCGATGGATCCTTGGAAGGCAGAAAAACCCGCCAGATATATAGTATCACATAATATATCCTATACATCCCCCATTTTCCATATACTTTGCCAGTAAATCCCATCCCATCATGGCCTGTCCGATCTCTGAGATCACCTTTGACCACTCCGGAGTAAATGCCACATCGACCTACCGACCATTCGTTGCCAAGGTCGAAATCTCTTGGATGCGATGTCCAAAAGAGATCATCGCCAAGCACTTGCTTGGCTCTTTATTACAAATCTATCGCAATTTCACTGTCAAAATTTGACTTAACACTTCAATACACGTCAATACATGTCCGGATCCACGATGAATGGAACGATGGCTGCGAGAAACCCAAGAGACATCAAGAGACCATTGGTTTGTGTCATATGAATCATATGAACCATAAAATCATATGATAACTATATATGTAGGATATCGGATATTATTTTGATATGTATATATATACATGTGATACATAAATATATATATATATATGTACACTGTAAAGACTAGTATAAATATCATGCATCTGAGAACCTGGCAACCTTCAACGCCTCAGCCACCGGAGCCGGGAGCCGACAATTTTTAAGCCTGGGCCAATATTCAAATCTTTAATTTGTTCATTGGATAATTGAGGGTATAACGCTTGATTGTTCATGTTATATTCATTTGGATATCTATTTTATTTTGCATCAAATCCAACAGTAGATATCCAAATAAATACAGGTAGAACCCGCGCAAGGCGCAAGGCGGATGGCGGAAGTTTCCAGGTTTAAGGAATGTGACACTATGGGATGCAAAGACAAGGTTTGCCTATAGGAGTTGGGGCGGAGCCTCACTTCTGTGAATTTGTCCTCATCTTGACTCAACCCTTTTCAAGTGTGGCCACCACTTCTCAGCCTGTCGCAGCTCTTCTCAATTCTTGTCACCACTCTTTTCAACAGCTCAAGCTTTTTCCATCGCTTCCCGCCTCAGTTGGAACTCTTTTCACCTCTTCCCACCTCTTCTGAACGACTCGCACCTCTGCCCCTGCACAAACCTTCTCAACTCGTCTCCTCTTCGCACCTCTTGCCACCTCTTCTGAACTCGTCCCACTTCTTCTCACCTCCACTAAGCTCATCTCACCTCTTTCTCAGCGAATCTCAACTGTTCTCACCTCTTGTCAACTCTTCTCAACTCTTTTCACAGAGATGCTTTAAATAAAGAAACTTTTACTATTACACACAAAAACTTCTACACACAGAAGTTTTTGCACTGAGAAACTTTTACACAGAGCAAACTTTTACGCAGGGAACCTTTTATATACACAAACAATCTTTTACACAGAGCAAGTTTCTACGCAGAGCAAGGTTTATACAGAATAACTTTCACACAGAGAAACTTTTACACAGAGAAGCGTTTACACAGAATAACTTTCGCACAGAGAAACTTTCACACAGACAAGCGTTGACACAGAGAAAACTTTACACAGAGAAGCATTTACACAGAGCAAACTTTACACAGAGAAGCTTTTACACACATCAAACTTTTACACACAAACGTTTTTAGACAGAGAAACTTTTACACAGAGCAGGCTTTCACACGGAGAAGCTTTTACACAGAGAAACTTTTACACAGACAAACTTTTCCACATAGCGCACAGCAAGGGTTTTACACAGAGAAACTTTTGCAGAGAAGCTCTTACTCAGAAGTTACACAAAGGATGAATTTTTACACAGAGCAAACTTTTACACAGAGAAGCTTTGACACAGAGCAAGCTTTTACATTGCCATGCGCTGCGCCAAGCACGCCAGAGATTCACAGAGACGTGCGTGTACGACAGCTCTGCAGTGCTCTCTGTGATTCCCTGGTCCAACAAAGTTCGATGCGGTAGAACCAACCGCAACACATGAACATAAAGTTGTTGAAGACGCGTGAAACATGTGTGAAAGCGTGCATCCTCTAAAACTGTCAAAAGTAGTCAAAAGCTACCGCGCACTGAAAACGTGTCGAAGCTTTGGGGGCAGATCATGAGTCAGCACCGATGTTGTCCAACTGCCACCATGTTACATTTGAAGAGCATGGCGACTGTTGACATGAGAGAACCTTGTTGTCATGTCGTCATCAACTTATGAACAACAAAAACTGAAAACAACTCACATGGACTACCCCGGACACCAGCATGCCACTCTCCGTTTGTAACCCTTTTTTCCTGCTGCTAGCATGAAGTAGAACCAATGAGATCCAAATGCCGTCATGTGACAATTCAAGAAGCAGCATGCTACCGCATGTATTATGGTTGACATGTCTACAGCAACTTGGATGGCAAAGCGATCATCCCAGCCCAATGATCAAGAAAGTTCTGCCGCGTCGGTATGGCCAACACATGCCTCCCACACTCTCCAACTGCCACCCAACATCTCTCCGACCCATCTCTTTTTTTGCCGACAAGAAAAGGTGAACTCTGACATATAGGCATGAGGTAGCAGAAGCGAATCTCAAAAGGTGATTAAATGACACCAACATATGATTCTCATATAGGGACTGACCAACATCTTCACAGCTTCACATTTTCAGATTCGAACCCTCAGTTAAATTGCGCGCGCAAATCGGGCCGGATTCAGCGGCAAAGCGACGACGCCCGAAACCGTTGAAGCACGCGAGCCAACTTTTCTCCGCAACGGAACCTCCGTTTACCCGAAAAAACACAATGTTTCGTGCAAATCCTAACGTTCAAATCGCACCCATGATGTAGCAGTTCCAATACGATCTGCCAAGAATGACTTGCAAACACACAATACAATCGCATGACACAACACTTCTACTCTGCTCTACTTCTACCTCTACGCTTCTCTTCTCTAGTCTTCTCTACTCTACCTCTAGTCTATCTCTAGTCTACCTGTAGCCTTGCCTCTAGTCTACCTCTAGTCTACCTCTACTACCTCTACGGCATGCTGGAGACAATGATCTCTGGGCTAGTGAGAATGTGACTTCATGATCTCTTAACGGAGGTACCCACTGGACACAATGATCTCTGGGCTAGTGAAAATGTGACTTCATGATCTCTTAACGCAGGTACCCACGGGACACAATTACCTTTGGGATAGTGAGAATGTGACTTCATGATCTCTTGACGCAGGTGCCAACTGGACACAACGGTCTCTGGGCCAGTGAGAGCGCAGGTGCCAACTGGACACAATGATCTCTGGGATAGTGAGAATGTGACTTCATGATCTCTTGACGCAGGTGCCAACTGGACACAATGGTCTCTGGGCGAGTGAGAATGTGACTTCATGATCTCTTAAGGCAAGGTGGACACAATGATCTTTGGGCTAGTGAGAATGTGACTTCATGATCTCTTAACGCAGGTGCCAACTGAACACAACGGTCTCTGGGCGAGTGAGAGCGCAGGTGCCAACTGGACACAATGATCTCTGGGATAGTGAGAATGTGACTTCATGATCTCTTGACGCAGGTGCCAACTGGACACAACGGTCTCTGGGCGAGTGAGAGCGCAGGTGCCAACTGGACACAATGATCTCTGGGATAGTGAGAATGTGACTTCATGATCTCTTGACGCAGGTGCCAACTGGACACAACGGTCTCTGGGCGAGTGAGAGCGCAGGTGCCAACTGGACACAATGATCTCTGGGATAGTGAGAATGTGACTTCATGATCTCTTAACGCAGGTGCCAACTGAACACAATGATCTCTGGGCTAGTCAGAATGTGACTTCATGATCTCTTGACGCAGGTGCCAACTGGACACAATGGTCCCTGGGCGAGTGAGAATGTGACTTCATGATCTCTTGACGCAGGTGCCAACTGGACACAAGGATCTCCGGGATAGTGAGAATGTGACTTCATGATCTCTTGACGCAGGTGCCAACTGGACACAATGATCTCTGGGAGAGTGAGAATAAAACCATCCGTAACTCGGAGTTTCCTGTTTCCTCCATGAAACTTCCTTTAATCAAATGAAGAATTAACAGTCAACATGACACCATGGCTATCCAAATGTCCAAATAGATAAATAACATACTCAACCATCAACAATATCCATGCCCTGGAGCATTGTTGGGACTAACATTGAACCTCCAAATATCCAAACAAATCTTAGTCCCAACTATCCTCCACTGCATGACTCACAAGATTCACACTGAGAGGTACGGCCAGGACTCTACCACTCTATCAGGCCCACATCAATTCGAAACATCCGGAACTGATGGGGTAATCACAATATGGAAGTTTCCTGAAATGGGGGTACCCAAAGCACCCATTTTTGTAGGATTGTCCCTTATAAACCATCCATTTGAGGGTACCCCCACTTTAGGAAACCCCCATATGTCTAACCACCTGAAAACAGAAACTGTGCATCCTTTCCCCTATTGAACTGCACACAGTTCCGAACAAGGATTCGCCATTTGTCCAGGTGGTTAGACATATCGTGACGATATTCCTGGTAACGACCTCAATAACCCCATACTCATGGTTGGTGTTACATCATTTTTTTAAATTCCCATCAGTGGTTATATCATGTTATACAATCATCATCATCATACAGTCATACACCCAATCATGATATTCTTACGTAGTATCATAATAATACTTTGTTATATATATATATACCCATGATCATGTTATGTTTATACCATTTAATACTGAATTCATAGTGGCGTTCCCATCCCCACACCGCCCTGGGAAAAAATCGCCCGGGTCGCAGGCTGTTTGCGGAAGCTTGCCCAGGCCATACGGCAACTCGCCGTCCTTCCTGGGGAGTTTTTTTTCACTGGAGAATGGTGGAAAACAAGAAGTGGTATCCTTAGCTGGCTGGAAAATCCAACTGCTGGGAAATCAATATCAATATCTCTATATTCTATATTTTATATTACATGCATATGGTACGATGATATAGTGATTAAACAATTAGATTACTATTGATTTATATATATATATCTCTCTCTCTCTCTCAATTTGATTTCAATGTGTATATATATGTGGGAAAAGCAGCTTACAACATTGCCATTAAGGAGCTATTAGGGGTTAGGGCCAGTACAGCAGGAGCATCTGGTCTTTTTGAGGTCTGGCTGCAGGCAAGACGGGCAAGATCAATGATGTCCTGCATCTTTGAAGAACAAGTCCAGCTTGGCGTCTCATGCATATCATGTACCATGATCATTCAAGTCCATTTGCCATCATTCATTCACGGGATTCCTCTTGTTTCATTCACCAGTCGGACGAGGACATCTATGGTCCCGATCGCTCAAAAAGCACTGAGATTCGTGAAACTGCAGCCCTGTTGCACCAGGACCCTTCGAGAGATCTGTGCATATCCATAGCGCACACGAGAGATCCCTGGGAGGGAGCTGAGCAGAGGCATCGAGCTCTTCAAAGCACAGTACCAGTTGATCAGTTGCACCAGTTTGGTGTGTTAGTGACATTTGGGATGATCATCCTGGTATAGCCCGGTTTGTCAGTGGATCTCAACCATTATGATCATTATCATGGTTGAGCCAGTTGGAGATGCTCCCAACCAGAAGTCAGCTGAAAGCATGTTGAGGCACAAATTCCATCAGGTATTTGGTACATTTTGAATACCACCATCAGTTGCAGTTTGTATCTTAGAAGAAACCTCCACCTGACAAGCATTGCCCAGCTGATGAGCACTGCCACTAAGATGAATGATCATCAGGAGTGCCATCTAAACCATACAGGACCATACAAGTACTTTAATTGTTTGGGGCCTTAAATAGAACATGGCACCAAACCCTGGGTGCTCCATTTTTCCTACACGACCCATACGGTTTTATGTCAGTTGCTATCAGCCAAACGCCTCATCTTCGCAAGGCCGAAGGCGGCCAAAATGATTCATGGCAATGGCCGATGGCGATGATGGCAGTCCTGAGATGTTTCCTGGGAATGACTCGTCTACAAGTGGCCTTTCCTAGAATAGGGGGATTGTGAATTGCCAGGTCAGCATACCTTATAATGATAAAATCTATAATGTACATGCCAAACAAAAAGACCGAGATGTGGCTAGCAATGTTCAATTTCCCGAAGAAAATGCCATCACAGCCGCGACATGAAGTTTCTAGAACTTGTGATCATCTTCATTTCAAAAAGCTGTGGCGTTAATTCCGCAGTTTTTGTCACTTCATCGGATTTGTTTGATGTATTTCTTGGTTTCAAATTCATGTTTAGCTCATCTTCAGGACTCGATTTTCAATGAAAGAGCCGTCCGATCATTAAACGCAGCACGCTACCCGCCAGCTGAAGCACACGGACAATGCGCAAATTTGTTGGGCCCAACGTTATCCATGAGATCATCAGGGTAAGATTAGGTAAGATTAAGAGAATTCACATTCACATACATTCATCTAAATTCACTATACAGTATCTCATCTCAATCTCGCCATGCTTGATCCGTGAGCTGTTGATCATGTTGATCCTGAGAGCCCCCTGTGGCTTCGAAAAAAAGGGCGGGTCAACTGGGGTTCACCAAGGCCGCAGCCTGGTCGCGCTGATCACTCAGCGAATTTCGTCGGCTCCGCCACAACAAGTCATGGCAGGGGCATCACTAACTGGAACGAAGGGAACTGGACCCCTCAACTGAAGTTGAGAGCTCAGGGGTCCAACATGGTCCAACAGAAACCCACCAACACGTTCTTTTCAAAGTGCTTGAAGATCATTTGAAGACCGTCCGACAGGCTCACGTCTCATGACTATTTATGACTTATGATATCTTGTGACTGATTTCTGTTCCCCTCGTTCGCGAGCAAAATGAAATGTGGACTCGCATTTAACTGTACAGTGCCAGTCCAGTCACACGACATGGACGAGCAGTGCACCTGGCAAACGTCTTGTTTGCTTTGTGGGGTGACTATCTTGGGCTTGTCATCCCATTTTTAGGTGAGCTGAAACACTCTAGAGAACAAGAAACGTTCCTCAAATGCTTCAGCCTAACAGTCTATCAGATTTTGTGTGGGATAAATCCCCGTAAAATCCCCAGCCAACCAGCCAACCCCATCGATACAACGCCTTCACCGCAGGTGCCATCCGAGCCCCAAAGCACGCTGCGGCTATCTTGGCGTTCCTTGGGGCTCAAGTGACAGTGGGCTGTTCATCCGGAAAAATGGATGGTAACTATACCTGGGCATACCTGAGCTGAGTTTATTGGCAAATGATTGTAACATATTGAAACATATTGAAACATATTGTGATATATTGGTTATGATTTAGGCCTCTCTCGCTCTTTCTCCAAATGTCGCCCGCTCTGGGACTTAAGCCATGATATACCCTCCGGTAATCAAACATGGCAATTTGAAATCCTCACAAATCCAATGTAAATGGAGCTTTTAATGTGTTTTGGTGGCGAAATCGTCGAAAAAAATTGGATTTTCCAGCCTTACCCTCCGACAAACAGCTAACATCTGACGAGGGTCGCTGGCCAGGGCCAGTTGAGCCTAGGTGGACAGTTATCTTGTGCTGGACATCTCATGGGTTGGCACCTCCAGCCATTTTTACTCATATTAAATGATGCTAGACGCGGCTGCATCTAAATCCATCTAAATCCTATCTAATCCCAATCAGCTCGAGTGACCAAATGCAGGGGTAGTGGCATGTAGTGGCACGTTGTTTTGCATGTCCAGTGTCGTCAATCAACTGCACTGTACTGCACTTGTCATGCTTTGAAGGTAGTCATTGGACTGTAGGGTCACTATGCCATCAGCGGGCTGGGTGTCCCTTAGTCTCTTTGACTGAATTGCTGGAACCCATCGGAAGCGACTTGGTAGTCAAGCCGCTCCGTTGGGGCAAGAGATGGGAAAACAGCTAAACTATAGAGAGATGCTCTTGTCACATCTTTTCACAGCGTGGGACTTCACAAAGGAAAGAAAGAAGTGTCAGAGATGTTCTTGTCACATCTTGCCACTGCATGTCTTTCGACAGATCGCAGCAGTTGATCGCATTTTAACAACCATCTAATATCATCTAATCATCTAGACCACACAGGTCACTTGTGTTGTGTCTGCCAGCTCGGGCTGAATGTAGCACTCGCCAATCACATCAGCTGCTTCCTTCGGGTCCTCATTCAAAGTCACCAGTTCTTCAAAGGGCAGTTGCCTCCATTGGTACGTCTTTCGATGGTGCCAGGCAGACCAAACTACAAGCAGCAAGCTGGGAGCTGCAATCATCCATGCGTAGGACTCCGACATCTGGCTCAGCACGCCAATCATCAAAATGCAGTAGAGCCCCAAAGCCAGCTCAGCAAAGTGGACTTGGCTGACCCAGAACTCCCCTCCCAGGTCCGGCTTTCGGGTTTCTGCATGAATCACCAGGTAGCCATAGATCAACCGACCCAGTATCAGATCCAGCATGGCAAAGATGGAGAGCAATGGTGCCACACTGGAGAAGAGAAGGCCCAGCACGAAACTCACAGCAAGATTCACCTTGGACTTGCGAACAGCGGTCCCTCGGCAAAGAAAAGTTCTAGGCCATGTAGCATGACACAGATTAACGGCAATCATTAACATATTCAACTAATCAGTAATTTGGAGATTTTTTGAATTTGACCAGGATGTCCAAGAGTATCAAGATTATGTGGTATCCGGCAGTGGGAAATAACCAGCAAAATGCATGTTATATCCAAATGGCATTTCGTGCGCCCAAGCCCTGGCTCGCTTGGTCTTCAGGCTCGGCTTTTTCTTTGGCCTCCTTGGATGTGCAAAAGGTCTTGAAAAAGAGGAACTTGGAGAGATTCATGTAACGCAAGATCTCCAAGGCTTTCTTGGTCCATTGCAAGATCAAATAGGTCATGTAGAAGTGGGTGGCCTTCGGCAAGCTGTTGGCCAAGATATCGAAGACCGAGGTGGGTGACTCCAGAACAGCTTGAAACTGACTCACCAAGGACCTTCCAATGGTCGTGACCAAAACCACAAAGATCAGCTGAAAGGTGAAATACCACCACTGCAGCTTGTGCTGGGCATAAGCATTGGCTTTCAAGCAGAAAAAGGTCTGGAAAATGAGCACCAGAACCGTGGTCAGCAGGGCCAAGAACAGGGTTAAGCCCAGGGTGGGAGCAAAGCCTGCCCAAAGTGGCTGCATTGGACCCAGGTCCACCAATTCCACCACATTGGTGATGAAGATCACAATGGGCATGAAACCAACGTACAAACCGAGCACGAAGAGGTAGCCAACGGTTTTCAAAGCAGTGGAGAACTCGGAACTTCGACGGAGGTCACCCCAGCGGATGTCACTGGCCTCTGGGGCTGCTGAGACTTTCCAATGGTTCTGATCTGAACTGATTCGAAGACTCTGCGCCATGTCTGCGAAGCGGCGGTTGGAAAACGTCACGAAGCCGGAAGCGGAGCTTCTGGCCATGGGATCTCTCCTGGGTACAGTAGTGGTTGGGTTGGGGTCACTTGGGATTGTCTTGCAACTTTTAGGATGGAAAAAAAAAGACGAGTTATCTTGATTGGTTTTGCCATATTGATATCCCCAAGTCTCCTGGAAAAATCGCAATATCATTTAAAAGTTGTATATTGGTATGCGCAGTAAGTTTACTTATTAACGTGGCAATGGAAAATCCACGGTAGGTGGAGGTTATAATTGGAACATCATCTAAAAATGGTGGATTGTCTATTCCCACCTTTGTCTACCGGAGGACAAGTGAAACCTAAACCAATACTTGAAACCATCAGCCAGTTTCAGACGTTCTTCCGCATGACTGTGCCGAAGTTGCTGAATATTCTCGTCCATACCCTGCAACTGTTCCTCGCAATATGGCAGGGTCTCCACTCGTTTTCCACATGGGCATTGTCGGAAAGTATCCACCTTCCTGGCCGCTGGTGCTTTTTAAATGAATGTGGAAAACATCATTGGAGATCATGCCATCATTTCTATGGGTGACGGTGGACACCGTTGAAAGAACCAAGGGATCATTCCCAGGTGTGGAAGGATTGCAATAGAACAACAATTTAACATAATTGAACAACATGACCAAAGGAATATGCGTTGAACTTGGCGACGTCTTCACATTCTTGGGGATGAAAACATGAAAAAAAAGAACATCCAGCAGCAACTGGCTGCTTGATTGGCTTTCTTCGTTTCTCTTTCATTTCTCCCTGCGGAACCTTAGATGTTCCTGCTAAAATTGAGATATTCCAAAAATGATAATCATGCTGATTATCACCAACTATATTTAGTTCGATATACCTACCATAAATCATAGAATTCAACTATACTTATATATATATTATATTGTACCAACTTTCGTCATAGGATTGGTTATTGTCACCGCACTGCATATAATATTCTTGGCTATGTATGGTTTTGTATCCCACTACATCCCTATTAAACATCCATTAACCTCCGATTAAGTAGCAGTAGTGCCGCTAAATTCACCCATTCCATTCTCTATTAAAACTCCATTCAACCACCAAAGATTATGGTTTCAATCACCAGTACCCAGCGTCTGTGTCTTTTCAAAGACCTGTTGGGCTTTGCGTTGCAGCTGCAGCAAGCTGTCACGCTTGGCGAGGAGTTTGGCCAGGTCATGCTCGTGTTTCACCAGATGGGCCGCCACGACGTCATCTGAAGAGAAGACCTGGAATGCAACGTGAGAAATCCTTGGGGGGTTAACACTCACTATAGACTTTAATGTGGTTTAATACAGTTTAATGTGGTTCAATATGGTTTAATAGGGTATGATATGGTTTAATCATGTTTAATTATGGTTCATCAGCAAAACTCGGGATTCAACTGACAAAAAATGGTGATATTCGCAGATTCACTGGATTCGTAGAGGGGTTCCTGTAGGTTCTTTCCTTCATCCAGTTCCGGGAGTACACGTATATAGGGACTTTGTTCAGAACTTGAACGATTTGAATCAACACAAGGAGATATCATAAATACGTGTATATATATAATTATATATATACTATATAATTGAATATAATTGGTATTATGTGGTTTATGTGATACTGTATATTATATTATGCGGCATAATTAATCATATAATATCATAACGTAAGGAGATATTATTAGTTTCTCAACAGTTCTGAGAAAAAGTTGTTATTATGTGGTATTCGGTATTCACAAATCATTTGAGGATATCAGCTTACAAATGTAAGAAATCTTAAGCATTGAATCATATGCAAAAATATGGGGCGACTTATAGAATCGTACATAGTTAAGGGAAAATGAATGATAACAATATCAACATATATCGACACATCTCAACGTTTCAATCATCTGGTATAAGTTTGAGCCACTTCTCTCAAAACATAAAATACAGTTTAAAGCAATTGAAATCATAATCCCCCGTCTTTTGATGTTTTTTGAAGGACCCAAAATAGCACACATTCATCTGAAACCAGCCCTTTCAGCCCTTTCAGCCAGACCTTCTGAAAGAACATCTTCAGCTTCCCGTCCGATCGCCAGTCAGCTGGCACGGCCTCAACCAGCACGGTGGTACTCTGTGGTATTGGCACTGCTTCCATCCATTTCATCCTGAACTTCAGGAATTTCTTTAGCGCCTGATCTATGAAGAAATGGACTGTGAAGCACACCAGCCAGACCACGGCAGCATGGAGGTAGTACAGCCAGGGATGGTTCTGGCGGATGGTGGCCATTTCCAACATCCTTAGGGGATCCTCCTGGAGGTTGGCTTCCCCAAATGCCGCGTTCAAAGGCACAACGATGATGCACATGGGGATAGCAATGGCACCCAAGATGGAGGCGCCCAAGGTGCAGAAAGAGCGGAGTAGGGTGGAATCAAGCCCTGCAATACGGATGGCTTCCTAACAGGGTGCCTAATCCACATTGTAGATTCTCTAGAAGATTGATCGATGGGAAAGTTCAACAAGTACCTTCAGTAAATCCAAATAACAGAATTGCATGACACAACTTCAAACAACACAGCAGTAGATTGCATCATATAGTATAGGCTGCAGTATATTCATAGGCAAATCTGCATCCACAGTTGCACATTAATTACAGTGCAGTGCTGTACTTTTTATACAACATATCACATATCATTCTCTTTGAACATATTATCGCCCACAATTAGGGGACTAAAACCATGATTTTTAACATTTTAACCCCCAACATTGAAGTCACCATTTATACCATTTCTGATTGCCAAAGTTTCTATCAGGACCCCTGTCCTCATCAGTGGTGTAGATGCTCAGCTTTACCCAGTCAATGAACTTCCCGCAGGACGTTGCTGAAGTGCTTGGCACGCCATCGTCATCCTGCCGGTTGGAATACACCAGGGGAAAGCGTAGTCGGAGTATGGCGAAAGCCACCAAGCAAGCCAGCACGATGCTGCTATTGAGGCCCAAGGCGGAAATCAATGCTTGCAGGTCCCCAGGCCCATTAAATGTCACGCCGGTCAACTCTGCTGCAGTTTGATTAAACAGGTTTGCAGTAGTCGTGGCATCATTGGACTCACTGGTAATGTTGGCGTCACCATCTGACGTGTTGTTGGATGCAGCTACAATGAAGCCGCAAAGCACAATGGCAAGCCAGGGTTGCATGGCTCAATGTGAGCTTCAGGCGTAGCTACTGGGGAGGTCAAGAGATGGAAATGGGTCAAAATCAAGGACATTGACACGAGGACTCACAATTTTGGCAATTCTTCAGTAGAAAACCATAGGAAACCATCCAATCTCATCCAGTCTTGGAAGTACCCAACTTTCGACCCACAGCCAAATGACCCACACTACTTGGTCCATCCAGCTCAAAGCAGTCAAATCCGAGCAATATTCCAAACCGAGCATGGAGTATGAAAGTAAAGCATTCCCAACAGCACATTTTTTGTGAATAAGTGGAAAATCCTCACATGTCCCACCATTCCAAGCATTGGAACACATTTTGCAGCTTCCCCTGTTTGAACAAACAAGGATTGCATGGCAGCTTCGCTGCCACTGCTGCCGAAGGGCTTGCAAACTTCCTCCGACACATGTCCTGGGAGGCTTCAGAAGTGTCTCCCACAATCAGTGGCAAATTACAAGCAATGATGAAAAACAAAGTTGGTTTTAAATGGTTGGTTAGTTGCTGTCATCCCATCCAAAGTCCATCATATCCCATCCCAATCCCAAACGGGCAACTTCACTACAAAGGGGGAGACACTTGGAGGGAGCGTGGGGAATCCCAGTGCCATATCAACTGCTGATTGGAGCTCCATCAGGTTCCTACCCTGTTAAAGAAACACGTAAATATATCTGGTTGGTGGTTTTAACCATCTTGAAAAATATTAGTCAATTGGAAGGATGACATCCCATATAGTATGGAAAATAAACGCCATGTTTGAAACCACCAACCAGATATAACATGTACTGGATGGATGAGCCCAACCCTGTTCAGGTTTAAAAGAGATCACCCATCGGGGCTGAACACTCCAAGCATCTTTTCTTCTTGGCAAACTGTCCATTCCACTTACGCCTGGATCAGATCCGACCACAGAAATGCCCGAGAGTCTGAGCGGAAGTTCATCACTGTAGAAAACAATTGGCCGCCATCATTACGTGACATAATAATCATGATCACATCAAAAATAGTCAAAGTATGTCAAAGTGTGATTACGCACAAAAAATAGTCAAAGTTTGACTAAAGTGTGGTAATATCATGTAATATCCAACAACAATGATTGTACATCCAGCACTGGAAAGATCACGTCACGTCCCGTCACCTGTGATGGCGAAGGGCGACCGCGTAATCCGTGCCGGCGAAACAGAGGCCCTGAGTTGTGCACCCAGGGGACATGGTTACCTGAGTTTAGAGTTTATAGATGTTGAATGAGGTTTATTAATGTTTATTATAGATGTTTATAGTTGATAGATGCTTTGGGATTCCTGTCGACTAATGGATGGAATTCTTTGGATAGTAGTTGCTACTCATCCTGATTCTATGGTTCGTTGATCTTTACAAAATTCCTTAACCAACTACCATGGATGGGATCATGGGGCACCGCATCGGCCAGCTGTCACAACTCCGACTTGCTCCAAATGCTGAAAAAGGCACGACATAGTTCCAGCACTTGGCATGGTTTTCCAGCTCTCCATTCCTGGGATCACATGGATCATCTATGATCATCTTCTGCAAGCTTCAATGTGAAGGTTTCGAAAAAACATATGACTTGGGGGTCTAACTGGCGACGACTTCTGGAGGATGTACACCCCCTCCCGTTCACGTAAACATGAACTTTCACGGCCCACTTGAAGTACCACGGGTATGGCAATCATTCATGATGTTTTTCTAAACATTGATTAAAGCCATCCAACATGCATAGAATTTGAGTCCCAACAAATTTCAAATCACATATAATTAATCACACATTGCATCATTTTCTGGTCAAAAATTCCAGAATCATACTGGTTGGAGTTACCCAATTTCTTTCAAGTATACCCTCCAATCATTTAACATGGACCCTGTCAAAAAGCATTGGAAGATTAGTTTCCGCTAAAAAAAACGGCTATTTTCAGTCTCAACGTGCAAATCGAATTTAGCGAGGATGGTAAATCCCTATTTCTAGCGGTCCTAATGATCGCAGGCAAAATTCCAAAGGTATATACGTAACTAATAACCATTCATAGGCATTAATAACCATTAATAACATTCCATTAACAGCCATGAATTAGTAAACATTCAGTATCAAAATCCATGGGATAACTGATAACCATGAAATAACCCTTATTTACCATTAATGAATAACCATTGCATACCATTGAATAACCATTATTTAATGATTTATCCATGGGTTAAGCATTCAATAACCACTCCACTTCCGTTGGTCCGTCGGGCCGTCCGGCACCTCGGCCTTCAATGGCCGAAACCTCCCGCGGGTTGTGATTCAAGGCGTCGCGGAGCTCGTTGAGGTCCTTCCGGACAGCCGTCATCCTTAGCAATGAGGGAACCGAAAAGCTTATGGCTGTAATAATGAGATACAATAAGTACAGTATATATATTCACAATCCATTGTTATTGTTCTATTGTATAAAAATACTCAAAGTACGTTTTTACTTTGTAAGTTTTTATAAGCACATCTTATGGTTTATAAATGCATAGTATTCGTTATATTCATGTGTTGATAATAATATAAGTATGCTTGTCATAATAATTACTATCTCTATTCTTACTAATGATTATAGGAAAATGATGAACGAAATAAGGAAAATTGATGAACAAAACAGGGAACACGATGAACAAATAAGGAAACATGATGAACAAAAACAAGGAAAATGATGAACAAAAAAGGAAACATGATGAACAATTTCAAATAAAACAACACAATGCCATTTAAGAGTTATTTACTAACATTATATACTGACCATGCAACAGGATAGTAATATTCGGATCCATGGATTATAGTAATATATATATATATAATTACGTATATATACACATATATCAATACAAAAACAAACACATACATAGTAGTATTAAACATTCTTAACTATTGTAGTGTTTGTTTGGTAGCACTAATGGCTAATATGTATTTTGCAGAATGAAACATGACTTTAAAAAAAAATACTACTGTGATATGGTTATTCAAACAGTATGAACATGTATGAACATGATCATGGATTGATACACCAGGAACTTAACAACACTATGACTATATATAATTACAACATATTAAAAACAAATGCTAACAATATCTAAAAGTCATAGCAATATTAATGACAACCAGTCGAATGGTTTCACCGCCTCTCCCTGGCATCATCCCCAAATGGGGCTCCGAGACTCAGAGACTCCAAATCTCCAAACGTGTGCTGGTGGAATTCAAACCATCAAATGGGAGGTGTTTATTATCAATGGATTGGTTTAAGGGAAAATTTACAGGAAAGCCCCATATTTAATGGGAAAATCTATGGTTTCCGGTTTCGATTTTCCCTTACACCAATCCATTGATATTATTGTTCCCACGGTAAATTGATAGATCGCATATGGTCCCATTTTGGTTGGTTCATGTGATGAATTTTCGAATTGCCATAGTCTTGAATGATGGCCCAAAAAAAGTACAACACATGGTGGATTTCCCAAGATGCTGGATTTCGAGAAGATTCACCCAAAATGGTGGATTTGGATTTCCCTGAAATTTTCTCAAGATTTCTCAAGATTCCAGTAGATCAGTAGATACCCCACAGTGGATTTGGGGAAAACGACAAATCCCCCAGCCACCGATGTCACAAAAGCTGAAGCCGTGAGTCGATGACACGCGTTCCTGCAGGGGTTCAGCTGGAAAATAAATGGAACAGCCCCGTTTTTTGACTTATAATCATGGGATGTTCCATGAGTATGCAAGACTTGTGATATACCCTCTGGTAAACTAACATAGCTATTGAAAATGGCCATTTATAGTGGAATTTCCCATTAAAAATGGTGATTTTCCATAGCTGTGTTAAATTACCGGAGGGTATATATATATATACATACATACATATACATACATATGAAGCATCTATCATATAACATGTAACATGTAGCTATGGAACATATTTTTTTTTATATCTTGAGGAGGCACATCATCTATGAAAACTCCATGAAATCCATGTAATTGCAGCAAAAACATCCACAAAAGAAGGCACCATGATATATTTTGCCGTGTTTTCCTTTGATTCGAGCATTGATGGATATCTTTTTAGATCCTTAAATCCAGTGTTGTATGATGTTAATCATATTTTGAATCATGTTAAAGTGAAGCCCTTTTTTATACCCATCTTTCTGCTAGGAAGATCAAGACCCCGACTTTCCCGTGGACCGTCTGGTCCTGCTCCTCTTGGCTGACCTTTCCGGTCAGCGCCTTCAGCACCGCGTCGCTTTCGGAAGTGACGACCTCGCGAATCCTGGGCGCGGCTGATTTTCGCTTGGGGCTATTGTGGCATTCAAAACAAATACAGTATGTCTGGCATCAAAAAGATGGAATGGATTATATAACTAATTATACTGCCCTGAAGTTGGATCTTACTTTTCATATCTTGTTCAGTTTGCTTGAAGCAGCATATGCATAAATATGTCAATATAAAGAATACTGGTTGGTGGTTTCAACCCCTCTGAAAAAAAAATATATATTAGTCAGTTGGGGTGATTATTCCCAACTGAATGGAAAGTCATAAGATTCATGTTCCAAACCACCAACCAGATAGATAGATAGATAGATAGATAGGTAGATAGATAGATAGACAGATAGGTAGATAGATAGATAGGTAGATAGATAGATAGACAGATAGATAGATAGGTCGGTAGATAGATAGGTAGATAGATAGATAGGTAGATAGCTAGATAGATAGCTAGATAGATAGATAGATAGATAGATAGATAGATTAGATAGATAGATACTATCCGATTCTATCCCATTTCCCCACAGTGCCGTGGAATCTGCTCAGTGCCCGACTCCTTTCGTAGCTGCAGTTTCAGGGCCTCACAGGCCGCAACACTTGCCTCCAGCGGACGTGCATGGAGGTACCACAATTGGGGGTTCTTATTGGCCATATCATTGGGTATATGATGGTATGTATGTAAATAAATAGATAAATATGTATATATATATATAGTCATGTATATATTATAGTTATGTATATATATACACATATGCGTGTGTGTGTGTACATATGTGTATATATATATAGTTATGTGTATATATATATATTATATAGTTATGTATTATATGTACTGAATAAATATACAATTTATTTGAAACAGTTTGAGATGATGTAGAATAACTCCCAGTCCTGGCTGGGTTCTGTGAAATCATGTGAAATCCCATCGCTGCGCCAAGGATCCTGTTGTGCAGTTGCAACAGACCTTCAGCGGAGGCCATGGCAAATGATCTACGAATCTACATGGTAGCTGCCCCAGTTCATCAGCCAATATGTTTTTTCAGGATTTTTAAGGAATGTCTGAAAAAACATAACCAGGGTTTCAGCATAGATATATCGATTATATTTATTTGGTTTCTAAACCGACTTCCTAGATCGGTTTCAAGTGCCTCTAACAAAGACACGGCATTTCATAAATCTATATGATGAATCAACATGATATTAAGTAACTTGTGCTTCTTGTGCTTCCAGTTACCAAGAATCATCGTCAACTTGGATCAAACTGGAATCATCCAAGAGAGATCAGGATCAATTGTGGCAACCGCGAAGTCCTGCGATTAATGCGACTGAGGTTCTGGATCTCCTTATCCAACCTTGAAAACGGACTCAACAGCCGAGACATGGGTTGGTTGGAATGTTTCGCAATGCCGTCCATTGCCGTCCTGTTCTGCCAAAAGCAAAACCCACCAATTCTGGGACTAGGATGGCGCCACAATGCAGCAAAGCCACCTCGTGCCCTGCGCAGGCAGTGATAAGGTACCAAGTTCTGAACAATGTAAACCAAAGTTAGGGATTACTCTGGGTTACTCAAAAGATGATTCATTGACTAATTTGATGTGGTATTATTGGGTGGCCGCTGATGACTTTCCAAAGCCTATGAACCTGCAAAGGCAAATCCGAGCCTATCTGTGCCAATCTTGGATTCCCTGTCTTCTTTTAGCTGGTCTGCCAAAATGGCAAACATCTCAGTAAATATGAATATACATGTCATATCCATCCAATCCCATTGGGTCATATCAGTCATATCCAATCCCATTGGGTCCCCGGAAACGATCCGAGATCTGCGTGTTCATAGATGGTGCTTTGGAACCCTTCCAGCTTCTCCTGAAGTCGGCTTCTTCACTTGATCAACAAAACTCCAACATGGCCTGATGTGGTCAACCTACCTCTGTATGGGGATTTCTTGAAATAGATCCCCATTTTACCATGGGTTTCAGTACTCAAATGGTCTAATGGATGATTTGGGGTAGCCCCAATGACTTAGCAACCTCCATATACAATCATATGCATAACATTTTGGCATCTCTGGCAGTTGAAGACATGTTGGGATTTGTCGCTGCCCCCATGATTTCGGTCCTTGAGATTTCCAACATCCCTCTGAATCGGCTGCACTAAAGCGCTTGCAACCTGTCACGGGGCAAATGAATCGTGCATAAATTCACTGGGCAACCATGCCAATACCATAAGAAGTCAACAAACAATCAAAGGCTTGAAGAAACTCAGCCACAACAACAATGACTTGCAGCTTTGGACCTTCACCTTTTGCAGCCACGACCCCTTGCAGGACACAGGGAAACATCATGTTGGTATCAAGGGTCTTTGATTTCGAACTGTAGAATTCGTGCCCAGTTGCTCCCCATCATGCGGACCCACAGAGCCTCAGGAAGAGTATCTGCAAGCATGGTCTTCTGCGTGCCTGCAGCACTTTTGAGCAGTGGCCAGCATCAAGAGGCAGGCAGCATTTGTCTTAGGCATTCAGTGCAAATGATCTATCAACCAAGTCTCTTTCAGTGATGCTGGTTCATATTATCCCATTCTTTGTTGTGGGGACGGCCAAAATGATCAATGCTATTCAGAGATATTAGCACCAGCTGATCTCCTGGCTAAGCTCAGATACCCTTCAAACAAATCGTTGGTTTGATTTGGCTCATGTACATGTTCACAAATTATAGATTTATTATGATTCATTATTATGTTTTACGATGATTGATGATTATTTATGGATCTTATGACAAAGACTTACCCACATCACGCGCCCCAAAGCCCAAAGCCAGGTTGATCGGTCGATCATTGCCTTCCAACTTGTCGAAGGAGCGCTGCAGCTCAGTAAACCTTAGCAACTTCGAAGATTACTAGCAGGGCACGGGAAAAGCGTTTTGAAAACCGGTTTTCGCAGCAAAGTCAGCACTTTGCCAAAAAAAAGGGGTTGGTGAGCAAACTCCCGATAGGATAGTGGTTGGGGATCATTAAAAGTTGATGGTGAAAGACTAACTAGTATCATACTATTATCATACTAGCATCCTACAGTATATATATATATAAATATTACATAATATATATATAACATATATATATATATTATATAATATAATATATATATATATATGTACTGACCTGCTTTTATGAAAGCTGAAAAGGTGGTACTGAATGTACACGCATCGTTGGACACAGTTGTCACCCACCAGAAAGGTCGCTACTGGTAGCGAGCGTTCCAAAGGTTCCCACCTCACTACCGCTGTCGAGTGGCCGTGGTGTCGAAAGATGCAAACATATGCAGTACCACCTTGTCAACTTTCATAAAAGCAGGTCAGTATACATATATATATATATAATTATGAAACTAGCAGCCAGTAGTTTCAAGAAAATCAATCCAGAAGAAGTGCATTTTTTTTGGTTTCCTAAGTCATGGGGGTACCCCCCCAAATCATCGATGCCAGGTCACAGTCGATCCACTTCGCGCTGCTGAGCTGCTCGCCGTGTTTCCATGGCATCCTGGCCAAAGAGATCACAGAAGTGGAAAAATCCTTCGAAAACCATGGCAATTCCTTGGAAAACCTTCTTCAAATCAATCTTTCTAGCAGTTTCAATCATGTTCCCAACCGAAAACCCTCCAAAAATGGTTGGGATTGTCCTTTTGCAGACTCAGACCTTACAGGTGGCTTCTTCAAAGTGTCCAGTCCTCAAAGTTGTGGAACCTGATGTCCAACTGGTCAAACTTGCCGGTCCATTCCTCGGCCGACGGAAACTTAAGGGGACTTTGCCCACATGTGTCACATGTGCCACTTCCGTCACTTCCCAAGTCTTGGTCGCAGTGAGCATGATTGGACAGTGGTTTCAACCCCTCCCAATGATATTATTCAGTCATAGGTGGCTAATGAACAAAAAGTGTTCCATAGTCCAAACACATCTTGAAGTCAGATTTAGCTCGTAGTAACATTCTCAAGCAGATTAATGATTAATCTTTATAGTCGGTTTGGGTTCTTCTTCCCGATTCTTCCCAAAGATGGGACGGAAACCAACAAAAACACCGGCCAAATCCAACCAAAAGCAATCACGCCACATCTAACTTGCGGACAAGAAGCATTCAGCTGATCTGCCAGCCTGAAAGAAGGACCGGGGGCTCGGGAATCTCATTAATCTCACAGTGGCCCATTGACGGTGGAAAATCAATGCCATGCAAATTCAGTCTCTTTAAGGCCTTGGCCCAATGATCCAAGTGAAACTATTTCCATGATCATTTTCTGGTTGGTGGTGCAATAACCATCTTGAAAAATATGACTTCGTCAATGGGAAGGATTATATATATATATATATCCCATACTGGGCTGCTGTTAAGATAATCAAATAATCAAAAAGTTTTTCTGTATATTTCAGAATATATTTCAATGCAACATATAATATAGTATGATTAACTAACCATGGTAAAAATTACGCTATTGTCTTGTCTGTTGCAAGAGCTCAACCTTTCTTCAAATATCGTTGCCTAATCACATGGAACACCGAATATTCAGTCGCACAATACTTCCCAAAGTTGACGTTTTGCTGAAATTGCTCTTCGTTCATGAAAATTGTGGGTTCCCTCAATACAGCACAGCAAATACAAATATAGTTTTCTGACTTCTCTTTGGTTCTCCGACCTTTTGCAACATGGTGGGGATTGTAGCAGCTGCTTTCAACAATGGTATCATTTTGGCAAATATACAGGCTGCTTATATTATTTCGACCATTACATAAACTATACTTGCGCATGTTGCATGTTATTGTGTTTGCACCGTCCTCGTCGTGTTGAGTTGGTTCGTCAACTAATCTGAAATTTGTTGAAGCGTTTCAATGAAGCATCACCCCATCACTCAAGGTTTTGATCCTTTAAACCATACATTTACAGATATTCATGCATAAACATGTGTACAAGGAGAACTTCACACATTGACACACACACGCACGCAAGTCTATATCCATCTTTGACATAAATATATGTACATACATACAAATAATCTATCTGTACTTATATATTATAAATATATATATATATATAGATACACATATTCACAGCATGTGCATGGACATTGGAGTGGCCATTCCCTTTGAAGAGAATGCACGCCTTGCCATCACGGAAAACTACCTGCCCTGCACCCCCAATGCTCCCCTTATCTGAAGAGCGAGTATGCATGGTGATGTCCCGCAGCAACGCCTGGCAATATGGTTTGAACTTGTCTGCACTTGGGGAGCCAGCGGTATGATCACATGTCAAAGGGAGCTTGTGGTCTTAGACGTAAAAAAAGGTGCACTTGGCTGCCTACTCAATTTGTTCAAGATATGTAACAAGCATGTTGTATGGCCACGAAACAAATAATATACTACACTTGATCAAATCCCAGAGATAACTTTTGAAAATGTTATTCTTGCTTGATGCCTCTCCATATTCTTGAGATTATTTGCGCATATTCTTGTTGAATCCATATGTATTTTTGTTTGATCCGTCGCCCCTACTCCTTGCTTCGCTCCTTCCGTCTTGTTTTGGCTTTGGCTTCTCAGGCTAATTCCTGCTCGCCCACCAGCCTATTACTTCACCCACTTGAAGGATTAGCTACATATGCTTGTTTGACACATGTTGTTCTTTATTATGCGTATATACATGCATGTTTTAGGTGTACTTAACAATTATTTATGTTTATTTATATATATATCTCTCTCTCTATCTAGACATAGGTTTATATACGGCCAAAAAATGGTATGCAGATATACACATTTATAATACATATGCAAATTTATATCTTTAGTTGCAATGCTCATACATTTGTACATAGGCAAATGCAAAATTGCCGATGCCGACAGCATGGGAGGTCCTATTGCTTGCCTTCACAAGCGGTTGGGCCCAGGAAGCCTTCTTTCTGATCAGCCCCTTAGCGCTCACGACGTTGCAATGCTTACCCTTAATATTTTAAATTCTTGTTGGTGCTGTTAAGCAAATCACCTTGTACAGGAGAGGGGCTGTCAGCCCCTATGCCCTGCAAGGTCCCGAGCGCTACGGACCTTGCACCGCCTGAGTATGATTATCTTAACAGCACGTTAAAAATATTCAAGATAGGGGGCTGCAAGGTCAAAACCCATGCCCCGAGCTACGGTGGGGAGAGGCGGTGCAAGGTCCCGAGCGCTACGGACCTTGCAGGGGATAGGGGCTGGCAGCCCCTCTCTTGTGCAAGGTGATTTGCTTAACAGCGCCAACAAGAATTTAAAAGATTAAGGGTAAGCATTGCAAGGTCGTGAGCGCTAAGGGGCTGATCAGAAAGAAGGCTTCCTGGGCCCAACCGCTTGTGAAGGCAAGCAATAGGACCTCCCATGCTGTCGGCATCGGCAATTTTGCATTTGCCTATATACAAACGTATGAGCATTGCAACTAAAGACATAAATTTGCATATGTATTATAAATGTGTATATCTGCATACCATTTTTTGGCCGTATATAAACCTATGTCTAGATAGAGAGAGATGCAGCGGAAAAAGTAGCAACTCACACTTGGGCTCTACCCTTTTATCTACGCTGAACGAAGTCGAAAACGGCTGCAGATGAAACAAGTCAAGGTGAACCAAACTACAACTAACTAGGGGTCAGGTTCCAGCACGCCTCCCGACTGATGAACTGTTGTCACATCAGGAGTACTGGAGACACTAAAAAGGTGGCTCAAGCCGTTCTACACAGCGAAGGCGATCTTCGATCTACCTGCCACATACCTGAATCCCATCAGGTCCATCATTTGAACCATCAAAGTCGCAGTCACAGGTTTGGTGAGTATGTCTGCCAAGTTCTCAGACGTATGCTTCTTGGTGAGCTTGATCAACCCATTGGTCACATAGTTCTGGATCCACAGGAATGCAGTGTGAACATGTTTCACACGCCCCAATCCTCGACGGGAACTCATCGCAGCTCCTGCCGTCGCATCGAAGATGAGATTGATTGACAATCGAACGTCCCATTCACTTGCGATGGACTGCTCACACAGAGCTTCCGATGCTGAAGTAACCAAGGCATAGAATTCAGCCTCTCCTGATGAGAGCGCTACCACGGCTTGACCGCGGCACACTGATTTCAGCAGGTTGCATCCTGCCATGATCACACATCCCGATGTTGATTTCCTGGTGCGTATGCATCCGGCATGATCCGAATCGCTGTAAACATCCAGTCGAGTCAGGATGCGTTGACGACGAAACATTTGGATCACTCGAGGTGAGTGTAGGAGGTACCGGCTGCACCTTTTGAGCAACTCCATGTGCCTCTCCGTAGGCGCTGACATGCCCTTTGCCAGTTCTCTCGTCACTCGTTGCAAATCTGTCCGGTCCTGGGATATATATCCAATCCTCATAGTACACGACCTGTACAAGGTCGCCTCCTGTTCAGATAGCATCTTGTCCTTGACGTCCACGTTGTCCGGTGGCTCTCGAACCAACGGTGTAGTCACCGCTTTGCTCACTCCCAAAGCCTTTACTACGATGTCCACGTGGCGAGGGTCAGCCTCGTAGGAGATTCCCTCATCAGTCCACTTGAGAATCCTGTTCAAATGGCGCATTTCTTGCACCGTTCCCAGATGTCTAGATTCTGGCGGACCGAAGATTCCACGCTCTTCGATCATCCATGCTGCTTTCAGCTCCTGTGAAAACTTTCGCAGCTCATGGATAGGTCCTAGGGTGACGAAATCGTCTCCGTGCACTGTGCACCTCAAGTTTCTCCTGGCATGGAGAAAGTTGCACGGTGTTCCCAAGGAACAAACGAACCCAAGGGACTCGAGCAGTTTGCGTATCGTCTTCTCCCAGTTGGAAGCGGCATCCCGCGTGCCGTACAGGCTTTTAAGAAGCCTGCCCACTTTGTCTTCCCCAGGTCTTCGCACTTCCCAGGGCAGCTCAACGTGCAACTCCCGAGTTGCATCGGACACGAAGTGTGCCCTTTTCACATCAATGAACATGATGTACCACGGCTCGGTGCAAGGACGAACCGTCCCATCCACACCGAAGAACCGATCCACCATAGCGAGCGTCAGCAGCAATTTGAAGCTACTGAGAGGTGGCATTGCCGCAAAGAAATCGGCTACCAAGGCACCCTTGCTGCCTTTCTTTATCTCCTTGCCGACATACCGCGAACGGTATCGGGGATTGGTGGAATCACCTTTGTTGATGTCGACCCATCTGCCTTTCAGCACTGGCTTGTCACGGGGTCTGTCCACTTCTTGCCACACGCCCATCTTGCGTATGAAGTCAACTTCCTCTTTCCTGGCTTTGACCACCCGGTCGGGGTCTAGTTCTCTCCCGGAAATATCGTCATAGAATTCTTCGAAGTGAGCTTCGAAGAAATCTGGCTCTTCACACACCGGTCGGGTCTCTCCCCGCTCTGTTGCCTCATCGATTATGGCACACACGCACTCATCGTGGTGCATCTCAATCAACTCATTGATCGAGGCTTCTGTGTCGATCACGCGAGTGTCGACCACACGCGCCTCTTGCGACGCTTCAATTTCTTCTTCGCCTCCTCCCTCATGCTTTCTCTTGGAGGGGCTGCCTTCTGTGGCTCGCCTCCTAGTCGGGGACCTCTCTTCGGTCATTGGGCCAGTCTCCACTGACCTCTTGGGACTGCTAACCTCTTCTCCGGCAGCGGCCGAAGCGGCCCTTGCCGTTAGAGCAGGTCCGATCCTTCCAGACTTCGAAGGATCCGATGCTGATGATGCCTCAGCTCCACCAGCTTCCTTCTGGTCGACCACCACGGCTTCCGCTTTCTCAGCCTCCTTTTGCTTCTGCGCTGCAGCTAACTCGGCTTCCGCCGCCTTCAGCAAGGCTCGATCGTATCGTTCCTTCTCCACGGGGTCTTCAGAGACCGCTTTCTCCAGTCGAATCCGGCAACTGGCACTGTGAGCTATTCCGGGCTTCCTCTTACCGACTCGTGCGCTGTCGCACGCTGGACATCCGGCTGTGTAGCCGAACTTCTCAAGGTTCTTTTGGGTTATGTACAAGTTCCTACTCGCGGGCTCGAGCCGAAACGGCTCAGGCTCCCGAACGTCGACCTCTGGAACTTCTGCTTTTAAGGACAAGGGTTTGTCCAACCTTTCACTCTCGGAA